ATATATATATATATATATATATATAGAGATATATATATATACATATATATATATGTATATATATATATATATAATATATATGGTCATTGTTGTTTATTTAAGCTCTTTTACATCATAGGAATGACGTTTGTGACACTGTCGTCGGGAATACTGTGATGTGTCCACAGTGTGACGTAAAGTGCCCCTACTGGTATATAAACGAGACCTGCACATATACGAGGGTAAACTAATATCATTAACTTCCTAATCATAATAGTGTCACCAGACCATAAACCTGTTGACATTTTCTAAGAAATAACCAGATATTACTAGGTGGATAATGTATGAATTAGTTTTGTAGTTGCACACTTCTGTGGTGGTAATGTTGTTGCATGTATCACAGAATCTCTTATTATCATGCCATTTTGTTTATTACTGCACTATTACTCAGCTATAGCTAACTCTTTACTTTCAGTTCACTTTCTTGTTTGACAACCCAGCTACCGTTTTCTTTGCTGTCTTCATGGCAGTTTGGGGTATGCATGCCAGCACCTACGTTTTATTTTCATTCCTTACAGTAAAGTTTTTTACTGCACTGTTAAATATCTCTTGTTAGCAAGTTTGTTATATTTCTTATTGTTTACACTTTATGCAAGCTTTTCATCGATTGTACTAACTCCAAGTAGGCTGTACTGTTTTGTCACCAAGGTGAAAGATCATATGTAATTTCAGCAACGCTATTTTTGGAGTTTTGGCAGAGGAGGCAACACGTCCTCGCATGGGACTGGGATGTGCAAAACTTTGATGATGAGGTGACGATATGCTTGTAAAATATAACTTGTTTCAATATCCATTCCCATTCCTACCTGTAGCCATCTACAAAAATTATTGGATGACATGTGGCACCAACTCCTTGTGCCCTCTAGCACCCACAGGTGCCTATTTTTTGTCTCTTGGTGCCCACCTACATCACCCACTGACCACCAGGAGGCAAGGGTATAAAAAGGAATGCAAACCCTCTGGTGAAGACTATACTACCAAGTAGTCAAAACTTGTGGTCCATCAGGAGTACCAGTAAGGAGAAGACCCTTCCTTATACATCTCACGTCTAGTAGCACCTATTTTCAGTGCCCAACAATGCCCATATTTTGTGCCCTTTGTACCCATTTTCACCAGACCAGCTGAGGCAAGGGTAAAAAGGACAGAAATTAATGAAAACTACCAAAACTAGTAGTTAATCCCTCAATTTATAGCTCAATTGCAATCGTTAACTAGTGCAATTTTATATCTAAACTGGAATAAGGCTGTGTGGTTATTGTTCTTGCATTGTGTCTGAGGTGTGCTCATCTTACCAGGATAATATGAAGAAATGTCACAATTGCAGGAGACAGTGCGCCCTCAATATGAGAAACAGGCCACTGAGAAAAAGCTGAATCCGGTCACACAACAAGAGCAACCTCACATTCCATGGAGCACTCGGTTTATTGCTAAGACGTATTCCTTCTGCTCACTCTTCTTTCTGGTAAGATGGTGATTTCGGTTTTCAATTTCATTTCATAAAGTTAAGAGCTATGCAAATTAAGTATGATCATTGGCATCGAATAGATATAGAATCTATAGTATGATGGAGTGCGTTCACATAACTGAGGTCGATCACAGTAGCTATTATAGCAGGGCCGTAGGCTGAGCAAATTCCTAGGGGGGGAGGGGGTGCAGTGGCGAATCCAGGATTTCAAGGAGGGGTGGGGGTCTGAGGGTCCTCCCACAGAAAATTGTGAAAATGTAGATCACAGGAGATGGTACTTGAGGCACTTTTGAGTACAGCCTTAATTTGATTCTGACTACAACAATTCTCTTTTAGTACAATTTATTTGTTAAATTTTGCTGCAAAATTTATGGGGGCAGCTGCCCCCTTGCCCCCCCCCACCCCTGTACGGCCCTGTATAGTGGTGTTCTTCATTGCAGCTGGTGTTGGTGATGGCAGCCGTGTTTGGTGTCATCGTATATCGTATCATCATCGGCACACTGCTCTACATGAATGAGAAAGATGCAGTGAGGAACACGTCCAGCATTGTCACCTCCATCACGGCCTCAATCATCAACCTCATCGTCATCATGATTCTCGGCCAGGTAGGCTCACCTGTCATGCATACAAGCCTGTTTCACGCTTACGATCATAGGCGCAGCTGATTTCGTAAAGAGAGAAACTTAGTTGCAACCAGGTTTAATGTTATACGTACTTTGAAAATTTGTACTGTTTCTGCATGCATATTTAATTTACATGATAGGAAATGTTTTTGTCATTGTATGTTTCTGCAGCTTTATTCATTTTAGCTAAATCCTTGTTTCCCATGTATTTCAAATGTTTTATTCACCTGCCATGGATTCATTAATTGCCACATTTTCCCTGATTATTAACCTTGCACTAGGGGAGGGATATAGCTGTATTACCAACATTAAAATACTGAAAATCGTGGTTTATTATTAGGGGATACATTTATCTTGTCAACCCCCATTCATTTTGCTAGAAACAGCTATAAATGTGTACTGCTCATAATTGATCACTTGTTATTATTATTTCTGTTCATAATTGGTGCTTTAAAAACTTTACAGAGTCATGAATTCATTTGTTCATTTCCAGGTTTACAAGCTGTTGGCAAAATTGTTCACAGATATGGGTAGGTATAATTACTATGCATTGCTAGATCTATATGTGATTTATAAAGCAATATTAAATTGTATGCTCATATTTTTTAATATTTCTTTGTTTAGAAAGAAGTATTTGAAGTATATTGTAAAACTGTATATATATATATATATATATATATATATATTCGTGCTATAGTAGCTAGGCTACTTCATTATATTCTGACCATTGCATTCATACAAAAACGATGATTATACAAAATCTGTTTTTCAGGAAATATTTTGGGGAGAAATACGGATTCTACTTTGCCTGGTTGGGATTTTACACGAGGATGCTGATATCTGCATCTGTGGTTGGATTTTTATGCTTCATTTATGGTCTTGTCACCTTCAAAAGCAACACACCAGCGTAAGTAGTTGTAGCCCATTTACAGCAGGTCATGCTGTCGTTTTCTGCGCATGTATGTCTAGTACTGAAGCATGTACTTCCTACAAGTGTTTCATCTTGGTAGAGAAAGTATAGTCAGCATAGACCATCTAGTAATAGATACTATATATAACACCATGATAATATACAATGCCACTATAATATATTGTAGATCAGCTAGCATTAGAATATAT